TCAAATTCGCATAACATGCTGAAAGAAGGAATATATGGCTTTTAACCAACCAACAAGTTTGCACATCTCAATCCAGCTACACAATGAATACCCCAAATTTACCCTGCAATGGCTCAGCATCGTTTTTTACGCACTCGGCTCCGATTGCTAGGCCTCCTGTTGCGCATGGAAGTACACGGACTCTCACCACTACCGTTGTTTACGCGACCGGGATGTGGATGGAAGAAGAAGGTGAAGGGATGAATTGACTCACTCCTAGCTTGACCTCTATTGGTTTCTGCCTACTTCCGGACTGGAGTCTGAAGGACCTATAATTGGATGACATAAAGAAGAGCCTTCCAAAATGGCGCTGTTGTTGTAAGTTGTTATGTCCCCCTCCTTCCGATTAGCTTCCACTCCAATTGCCATCCCAACTGGATGCATAATATGACACTAATAAGATATTACTTGTTTAGTGGCTTTTGATTTGAACTCTGTAATTCAAAGTATTATGCAATTTTGTTATTTATTTTTTGCATATTTTGGCACAATAGCTAAGATGTATATCACCTTTAAATAAGGGTTACGATGTTGAAGGGCTTTCCGTAAATCATAATCTCATAATAGACAGCACAGTTTGTAACTCGCCTGTAAATACCAAGATTTATAATTCATATCAAGGGCCTTTAAATAATAATTTTGATTTTGTCCATAAAAGACTTCCTCAAATATATCCACTTGTTTGCTCAATTTAATTCGGAATAATTATGAATGTATTCAATATATGTGACTATTCGCATTGCTGTTCAGTTAACATGCTACTTCAGACTGACAACTTGTTCGCTATTGGTTTGAACCGAGTTATACAAGCATAGTAGAAAATATCTATTGAATGTTACAAGTGAACCTTTGAATTCAATGGGAACACTTAAGTGTCTGTTTATTATATACGTTCGTCTTTACTGGGAAAATAACTGCACACTTTTGTGGTTACCGCAATAACGAGTAAAAGATTCGTAAGATGCCGGTATGGGCATGGTACTAAAACTTTATACCTGCGTCAAATGCTGGGATAAGCAGTAAAATCACGTCACCTATTGTGCAAGCACTCCGAAGTTTTGGCAGAAATTTTTGTTATAATAAGGACATATTTATTTCGAGAATGTAGCATGGGTGCCAGCAGGCATAAGTAGCTTACTTGTCCATTGAGATTTAAGCGCACTCCTGTTAAGGCAATCTTTATCGGATGCCGTTCCTGCTTATTCTTACTGATCTCATGGATCGTTCAAGATATTAACGAATCCCGAATTGTCATTAGCTCTGGCAGTTTGATACCAAGGTTACTGTAATCAGCGGTATAAAACACTCGGTTGTCTGCAGTTGACACCACTGAATTTTGGAGGCTGAAAATTAAGCCAAATCGCTCCACAAATACGTCAGATTCTGATTTATTTTTGATACACAGAAAAGCTGAGAGGATGATAGGACTGAGCTTAAAAAATTTGATATATCTGTACAAAACCGTACACTTAGGATACCGATCCATTTTACGGTCATCGTGTAAAAAGATGTTATAACACAAGGCCAAAATTTGCAAAACATTTTTGGAATTGTCACCTATGTAGTACGCATTCGTTCAAATCTGATTGGAGGAAAAATATTGGGACTGGTTAAACTCCCACTTACAGTGTCACATAATTGAACATAGCAAGTGAAGAAGGCTAAGAAGGGGGTGATTTATATGTATATCTAGTAAGTAACCGATATCAATTTAAATTACAGAATTGCGCAACACGTGGCTTATTAAAATACCTTGTAATATATTAACTGGAAACTAAGGAAAACAGTAAAAAGTTAACTATTAGAGTAGGGTCACACGACATATATGCAATTGAGGACAAGAGCATACAATGTCCGAGAAAGTTTCCATGCATTCGTGCTCGTGGTCCTTGTGCCGTTTGCCCAGAAGTCGGGAGCGCCCCAACACGGTCATCTCGGAGATGAGCACCTTCATGCTTTGGACCCAAATCAGTCGCTATCTACATTACTTTCCATTCAAACCGACCTTTACCAGAGCATACAGGACATTTTATGATTAACACTGAGCCGGCTTGCGACGCAACTGTTTAAGCTACCGTAGCTTGTGCAATTAAATTACGTCATGCATTTGGTGAGGCATGTGTGGAATCACATATCAGTGCGATGTTGTCTGAATGGTACAAGTTACAAGTTAGACCAAAATAAAAGGCTAAACGGCGCTTGGTTCGCAATGGTCCAGTGCATCCTCCAGAGTGTCTTCCGTAAAGAATTTGAACAGCGAGGTCGATGCAAAGCAAATATGTCTTATACCACTATTGATAATAAGGGGGGGGGAATTCCGCTGTGCACACACACAACCCGAGTTTAGAGAGTTAGTGGTTTGAGAAATGTTAACAAACAATTCCGGAGAGCATAACGATCAACCATTTTAAACGCGAATTGCACGTCTAATAGGATAACAGTAGTTGGCCGGCCGAGTGTTTGACGATGATCAAATATCATGCGTGTAAATGTGTGATGGATACGGAGATGTGCTTCCATTCTTGACGGAAGCCGGTGTGAGTTCACCTGGCTCATGGGCATTTTAACACTCGAGGCGACGAAACACGAATCACCCTTGTCGTCAGATGGTGGTAAGGAGTCGAGACACCAGGGCCCACTGCAAAATACTAAATGTGATAACTCATCCATAATGTCAACTAATTACACTGTAGCTCGACGTGCGCAGCCTAACGAAGAAGCATAATGGGCAGTAAATTGGTTTCACTAGAAACTACTTTTACTATGGGTTTCTTGTGCTAGTGGATGGTATAGGGAAAAAAGTTTGCATAAACTACCCGTGGCTACCGCTTGCTTCAACTCGATAACCCGCTGTGTCTACCAGCCATCGCGATCCTCTCGGAGGAGCTCCTTGAACACCACTTTAGGGATCCTGCGTTTAGACTATAGTCTACAGGACCGAAATATAATCGATAGGCTTCGGGAACTTGTAGAGATCTTGAAGAGATCCACTGGTCAGAAGGACTACTGGTAAAACCACGGACCCGTGTTGCATTAATGTGCCTAGCACTGTGGTGGTGTTCCTATTGAGTCTCAGTGTTTAGACTCAAACGAACTTTGAGGCCAGGACATCTTATAAGGCGCTCAGAGCATTTAGTGAAGACAGTTTAGACATATTAAACCGTTTCCGGCGATGTTGTTGCGTACCACCAGGTGATGAATAGCTACAAATGGTGCGTCAGCACAAAGGCGAATTAAGCGATTACCGCTCTCCTGTGTGAACACCAAGGTCACGTTGACCACCGAGCTCATCTTCGTTAGCTTTAAGTGGAGCGTAACATGAGCCATGCTGGTCCTTACCAAAGCAAATATTCCAAGTGAATTAACAATAATAACGACACATTACTACAGAGATAAAAATTCCTTTATCAGACCCAAACATTTACACAGTACTGGTTGCGCGCGTTAAGCATCCAACCTGGTTCGGGCTTGATTACTATTTTTTGTGGGGTAAACAATAGCTTAAGACTTGGCCAAAGATGGTAGGTAAAGTCAACTAAGGAAATATTGATACAGCAAACCTCAGAAAGCCATAAGAAATAGACAAGATAACGAAATAGATAAGTAGCAGTGTGCGTTGACCACGGAATTACTATCGGCCTTAGGGATAATTTTTGCACATACCATTCCGGCTTTAGATAATGGATGTAGATAGCACTAGCCGTGAACAAAAGCTGTTTGTGGAAACTTTAGTAGAAACATTTTAGACCATCAGTATTTGACTTTAAGTCTGGGAAGCTACATGGTGACGAGCGAAGAATTGTGAAATAATAGTTTTGAGGACCTGTTTTCGCCTCTATAACACCGAGCTGGCATGTGCTTTCGAATGATTTGACATAGACGCTTTGTAGTGGAACCCAGTACATTAGTGCACATCAGGTAGCAAGTTTTGCATAGAAAATAGCTAATAGTTTATAATGCGCAGAAATTGATTCGTAGCGTTGAATTGTTTGCGCAACGTTGGAAGTAAAATATTCTTGCAGATGAAAACACATACATAGAAAATATTTGTGTCTTGTGGCTAGGTACACCCACCAGATGTACAAACTCGATTATTACTTCAACCTAAAGCTGAAAAACTTTACTTCATAAAATTATATATTTTGTCTAGCAGCGCTTACTGCTACACCTGTCCCCAGAGATGGACAACTAGCCGTCACCTTGAAACGTCTTTCGTCATTCTCAGTGGCCGAAAGTGAAAACGGAAAGAAGTGGCATGATATGTCTAAATAAGTTGTTAAATATTAGTATACATAAACTATATACTATTACTTCTATACTACTATACTAGACTACTATACTACTTCTAAATACTATACTATATACTATACATACACTATACATATTTACTATACATATTTATATTTCTTCGCTAATAAAGCTTTACATTTTAATTAACTCGTGAATCCAGTCTGCGTGGGTGATCGTTGTAACACTTTGAATGACCGTTTTTATGCACATCACTCTTCTCATTGTATACATGTCGGACAAATTTCGGTCATTTAGGAAAGTACTGGTTTTACTTTGCAGCATAAGTAATCCCTACATAAAATTTTTTAATCTCGTTCCACTTATTGTTAACGGTATTTACAAGCAAAAAATACTGTCGCGCTATAAGTTAATAGTGTGCCTGAAATGTGTGCTTTCTGAGTGAACGAAGTTCTTCCCAAATGCGTCCAACGGGGACTTTCTGAGGCATAAACTACCAGTATTCATAGCATTCCAAAGGTCACTCCATCTGGGATTTTTCCGTCACTCATGCTATGCGGGAAACAATTAAATGAAGCTAGTACAGTTGGCGATAAGGAAAGAGGATGAATTCGACATAAGGAAATAATTTTAACGAAAAAGCTAATGTTTAAACAGAGTATCCATGAAATGCATTTTATTGAATTCAACATGGTTAATGCTAGGCCGCTCACGACAGATTACTGGTTGCCGGTTCCATGTATTGATGTTCAACCATTTTCGGTGTGATGTTGAAAAATCGAATTCTTTTCCTTTCGGTACTGCCCTCACTGTGAGCCAGCCATGGTTGGAAATTATCAGTGTGCACTACACGACGTTTTGCGAGACTTTGGTTGTCAGGTCTGAAAAAATTAAAACAAATGATTATCTTCTGAACACGTAATGGACGAACCAATCCTTGGGGTAGTTACTCTCTGTTTGGAGCAACACTGTGCAAATTTTGTCCATTTATATGTTTTGATGCACAGTTGGCATGGGATCTAGTCTATTTGATCTGTATTTGCTGCTCAGTTATTAATGCTGTTCAAGAGTGATTCATTGGTGCAAATTCAGAGGACATTAACACTTTTGTTTATCATGTTAATGGCACCACAGTTTATTACTTACTTTGGGTAGAATAACACTGTGAATGCAGTACGAGATGCGTAATTCCTCCGATAGCCCATCTTATTCTGTGCTACACTACTTGGATCCAAAGCAAAGTGCATTATTCTTTCCAACATTCGTGAATTGTAATCAATTTCAGTATATGACAAAAACGCAAGCAATTCACAATTAGAAGTAACATTCTAGATTTGCTAAGAAACTTCAGATCTTATTTTTATGTGGCGAAATCATTCAGGAATATGGAGACTAATGAAACAGGTACTAAACAAACCCTAGTATACTACCGTAGAAAGGCATCGGCGGCACGACAGTAAGCAGTGCCGCAACTTCACAGACATGCGACCACCACCAGTCGTGTGTAGGCTAAGGATACTGCGAGGGTCGCCCAGTGCCCCACGCAGACGGAAACCTGCAACCTCCGAATGGCAAGGCGAGATTGTAATCCTTTTTGCCACGTGCCGGCAAGCGCCTGTTCTGCAATCGGCTTCCAATGAAAGTTTACAAACTGAAAAACGATAATCTTTTGAAACAATTGGTTAATTATAGAATTAAGCAGGCAAATTTAACCTTCACCACATTTTAATGAAAGCACACGCGTAAACTGCTTAAGTGAGAAACGAAAGCACACTTCACTTGCTTCATATATGATGAAGCGCATTAAAATGCTGAAGACCATTTTACACCGTATTCATTTACATTTTGCCAAGTGTTTCGCTGAACAATCGTTGTTAAGATTTTAATGCCTTTAATAGCTGGTGTGTTTCTGTCTATTCGCTTTGTCCATATTTGCCCTTCTGGAAGGTTGGTAATTTATCCACCTTGTTTTTCTTTATGATACCGAGGTAACTCAAATCGAATTCAAGCATTAGGAACGAACATTCTCCCAAAGCAAGTAAATGTAATTAGGTTACAAAGTAACCAAACTAAATTTCTTTTGCTGCTGTTGATAAGTAGAGATATACGAAAGCAAGCAGTGTGATACAATTGGCTGTCGGGTAAAATCTTAGAAACTTTTCTTCAAGCCCATACATTGCATCGTAGGGAGGAACATTATTTATTCATATTGATCCCACTTCTATTGGCAGTTGTCAGTGGGATATGTAATATTTCAGCAATCATATATTCCTGCGTGTGTAGGACCTGTAAATCGCACCACACGGTTCAAAAAGGTCGAAGATACATTCATTTTCGTTCATGAACCTGAAACTCCGCTTTGGACGCAGTCCCTGTATTCGGAATCACAAACACACGCTTCATTGTGGATCTCTGTGTGATTTGTGATTTCTACCGTAATCCAAGCAATTAACACACACGTAACAGCTAGAATACATATAAAATGCATATCGTTTTTCATCATGGCCTAGCTGCACTCATCAAAATCCTCAACACGTAGGAGACTGCATAAAATCAACTTACTTCTGATACAAGACGAAAACATTGTATGACCCAGAGAAGATGTTGCGCTCCTCCATCAGCAGAAAACTCAAAGGAACCGTGGATAGCGTTGCTCTCATTGCACTGGACACAGCATTCCAACTCTTTTCAAGAATCTCTTCATAGCCTGTTAATCTCTTCGACCCACTTACGGCATAGCCATTCAGCTGACCAAAATACAAAGTAATTACATTTCAGTAATACTTATAGCATTGTTGCAGAAATCCAACTTTTCACATACACAAAATTTTTATTATGTTAAGAAGGTAGGTTTATAAATAAGTGCTGTTAGACGCAAAAACATCTGTTTTATGCCGGTGGCCGCAAGTCCGTACATGCTGAAGTAAATGCACCATTTTGTGCGGTTGAATATTTTGACACATGTGAAACCACACATAAGCTGATATTGCGTTCAAAATGCAAAACCAAAATACCACCACTGGATCACCTTTGTAAACAGAAAGCCCTCTCAAGCTTTACGCCTTGTTGTCTCATTATACCACAAACAGTTTTAAGGCAAATGTTCTTACAGCGCTGCTATGGCATAAGATAATAAGTTCAATAACGCCTTTTACGGGAACAACGTTTAGGACTTATAACGAAAGCGCTGATGTCAATGAGAACTACAAGCCTCAAAAAGGTTCAAAAACGCATTTATTCTTGCCTCGAGTCTATTTGTAGTAGTGGTCTTGTCCGAAATTCACAACGGAAGCTGGTCTGAAGGAAGTGAGGATCTCCATGAGCAATCCTGCAGCCACCTTCAAGCATTGTGCAAACTGAGTTGTCAGAGGGGATAATCCCGGTGCCACTGATTGAGACTCCACGCGACTCGCCGATAAAACCAAAAAAGTGACTAGGGGCTGACCACACAAAGGTCGGAACAACGTCTCATCCTAACCACAACTGTTCCAGATCTCTGCGGGGAACCAAAACTCTTTCCTACGTGTACACGAATGACAAGGTCTCCCCATCAAACTCGCCTACCTTCTGTTGCGCCAGGCAAAAACTTTGGCTTTCGTTTCCATAAGCGAGATTCGGTTGCACTCATAGGTTACGTATGCAGAGATCGCGATGCAGGGACTGTCGTTGTCTCGACAAGATCGTCGCAGCAAGGGAGGGGGTGTTATCCTATACTAATGCAACTATTTACAATGCGAACAAGTGGATGGTCCGGAGCGGCCAGTTACTGATTCGCTAGGGTGCAGTTTGCGTCTCAAGTACACCGACATATGCTTCGTGGCAGTCGTCGGGATGGGTTCCCACCTAATATCATCAATGACGAAATGCTTACTTCCAACCTACAGCCACGTTCTTACCTCCGGCGATTTCAAGGTGCACGACTTGGAAACCTCGGCATCCTCCATCGAAATATTTAAGGCCGAACTGAATGACTTAAAGCCAAGTATTCCGCTCTACGATCACATCACCTCACGTAACAGGTACAAAGGTGATTGCAAACCATCGGTACTTGACCTCGTACTTACAAATGAGGAACTCATTATCGACAGGCCATTTATGGACATCCCACTAGGGTTGAGCGATCATATCACCATATTCTTTGTGTTTTGCGTTTATTATCCGGAAGAACACACAGAGCTAACAAGTACTAACACTCATTACAACATCCTGAATGACCTATCTGAGATGATCGAGAGGCAAATCTTGAAGGTTGGCTCACCTGAGGGCACTTGGATTCAATTTTTTGGTGGCTTCAACAATTTGACCATAAATGCTTCGGAAACGAACTAGATTCGCTTCACTAATCCCCGTCCTTCAACAAAAGTATAACCCGCAAACGTATATCATTAAAGAATGCAGCTTCGCCCACTTACAGAACTCATCTGGGTCACGAAACCTGTAGCAGTTACCCGATCATCGCAAGCAATTTAACGTACTTGTCCTTGAGGACAAATAGACTCAAGGACAATGTATGGATGTAATCTTTCAAAAAACAAAAGATTCTGTACAAGCACGTTAACACCATCCGGAAAGTAAAGCTCGGTATCGTTCCACTTAACACTGTAGTCGGAGTGGCACAGAATGCTGAAGTGGCAACCAACGCCCTACGGCTGCAATATGCCCCAACCTTCCAAAGAGACATCCGCCACTCTTACATACATAAATCCATCGCCCCAGATTTAACATTCAGTAACAAGTTTTACTGCCACATCTGTGTTTAAAAAACTGCTCGAGCTGCGCACCTACAGCTTTCCCGGAATCAAGTATATTCCCCGACGACGCTAGACGTAGCAACAACAACACTGGCAAGGCCATTGTAGCATTTTTTCCAGACGTGCTTGGCTGAACAAATTTTATCTACCTTGTAAAAACATGGCTTAGGCACTTCAATTTTAAAAGCGACAATCGCTTGGAACCCTCCAACCTCCTTCAAGTGGTCCTCCTCCTTGTGTTCTCAAAGATAATGAAAGCAGTTATCGCTGAGGCTTTAGTAGGCCATCTAGAACGCCACAACATTAGAGTATCCGAGCAGTAGGTTTTCTGCCAACACCTTTCATGCACTACCAATCTACCTATTGCACGCATTACTTGGACGGAAGCGGCCGATGGAGGCAGAGAGACGGACGTCATTTATTTCGACTTCTCCAAAGCTTTCGAAATACTGGACCACTGCATTCTGCTTCACAGCCTGGAAAGCTATGGAGTTAAGAACCATGTCCTTAGGTGGATCAGCAATCTGCTGCATGATCGGCAACTGCAGATCAGAGTTCGAAGTGCGCTGCGTGATTCTATTTAGGCCGAATGTGGATTTCCACAAGGATCAGTTCTGAGGTTGCGTCTGTTTCTCGTGTTCAGTAAAGAGTTGCGCGTTTGAGCACGTAGGATTTCTCACTGTTCGCTGATGATATTAAGATGTGGCGGACGATCATCGGCTTGGCAGATCCCGATTCACTGCAGCGAAATCTGGGAAAATTATATGAGGGTTCACTCCACAATCTGCTCAACGTCAATTAGGGGAAAGTGCAAAGATATTCTCATTCGCCACCAGCTGCACATCACATACAAGCTTGAAGATCATGTCCTTCAAGCAGTCGCCCGGGAGCGCGTTTTTGCGGAACTAGTCCAGGCTGAGGTGGGTTGCTCAGAGTAATCTGAGTGGACCTCAAATATTGGGAACCAAGACGTTGGCGTGATGCGGAGGGCACTTGTGCGGTTAGCTCCATCTGGCTTTTCGCAGTCACTTTAAACCTCCGTGCGGTGTAATGTGGGTCACGCAATCCAGGCCTGGCAGTCTTGGCACAAGCAAGACCTTGCAGCGCACAAGTCTGCACAACGACAATCCACGAAGAACACCAAAAGGTTGTTCAATCTTTCTTATCAACTTGGACTAAGAACCTTAAAATTATACGGCGGCCGGTACCGGCGCCTGCGTGGCGACCTAACTGTGGCCTATCAGATTCTAAGGAACCTCAACCACCGCTGCCACCAACTACTACAACTGAGTCCTAAAACGAGGTTGAGCGGCTACCAGTTCAAGTTAGCCACGCAATACAGCCGACTAGAATGTAGACGAAATGATTTGGAATATTGGTAGCTCGGGAGGCTTTCTCAGTTGTTGTGGAGTTCTCCGAGCTGGGCAACTTGGTTGCAGACGTTTCGCCACCATTCGAGGTGGCATCTTCAGTGCAAGATCGATGGCAGGTAAGTAGCAGTAGCTGGTAGAAAGCAAACCCATTATTGGGTTTGCTTTCAGCACGGAGGGCATATTGAAGTTTTCACCCATCCATTCTCCCGATGTTGAACAACTCCATCTTGCCTCCTCACGTTAAATACCTCATCCAAGTTTGGCTACCATGGTTCCAACGCGGCATGTATTATCAACAAGGTCTGAAGTCAGTGGGAGTTTTCAGCGAACGCTACGGACGGTTGTATGGCGATCTCATATAAGTATACAAAATATCGTGTAACCCTTTTCACGTATGCCGTCACTTGTCTGAACTCAGCCATACCACCAATCTCAGATGTTACTGTTGGAAACTGAGTGATTAATATAACCGATTGGAATACCGACGTAATTATATTTCACTTCAGGTTTGCCAACCGCCGAATTCTATTCCAAATTCAGTTGTTCCCCCCCTCCCACAATGGATATTTGCAAAAAGGCTATTGGATGTTACGCTTAGCGCCCATCTCTTTATTGCCTAAGCTGTGCTGTCATGGTATATATATATATATATAATGTACGCTTTCACTCAGAATTTAAATGTCACATAGACCTAAGGAGAAGGAACATGACTGAGTATTCTTCTATTTAATTGTATAACCAAGTGTATCATCCATAACTGTCCCCATGTGATATTGATTTGCTTTCAAATCGCTTTTACATTAATGTTATGCATCGGAGCTCTGGCTCGATGAGCGGTCAAGCGTAGAACTCACATATCTTTTGAGAATGTAGCTTTACCTCTACCATGCTGCGGCACTTGTTATGAAACTCCGTTTTTACCAGTGATGAATTATTGCTCATTTTACTCCGGTCAAGTAATTTCTCATCTCATTTATTTTTGTTGCCTACACTGTGTGATTCATGTTGGAGTCAAACAAGGAAAATAGCTAGACGGTGCCAAAGGGAGCCATCGATTTCCCGCATTCAGCGAGTTTCACCATCCTGCCTTCCGAAATGGAGCAGCTGGGAATTTCGCACGGTGATTTCACACCAGTTTAAGCATCAAACAACCGCTTTGTATAATGGACAGCCGAAGGATACTCAGTTCCTGATGGTCCATTTGCTTGGTATCAATTAGAAACTGGGACAGCTTAATGATTCAACTATCCTGTTTGTTACATTAAAAGTGCAACTTATATGGCTAACAAAAGGAAAATTGGTACTGCGTAGAGAAATCGGGTTTAGCTTTAAAATAGTGTTGGTGAAAATTTTCCAAACATTATCCTGTATTATACAAAAACATAGTATAAACAAATGTACCCCCAGGCTTCTACACCAGATTATGGCAAAGTATATCCTTTAGTGTGCGTTCACATGGCCGATGCGAGGCAGTGAGCCAGTAACCGTGAATCAAGATATTGCGTAGCCTGGGGTTTGGCCTACGTTTGCAGCGCCTGAAGCCAGATGAGTAATTCTAACTTGAAGTTCTCCACATGCTGCTAGCCTTGAAGGATATGGCCATTTAAAAGGTAGGTGTAAAATCAGTTTTAAGCACTTGTATTTCCTTGTTGTTCACTTTTATTTCCACGCTAACCTCCAAGCTGGCCAGCTTGCTCCTAATGTCGAATACTATTATGCATGATATGCTTTCTTTACTAAGAACGAGTTTCTGCCCTCTACTAGACTGGCAGCCTATCAAATATGCGGGTGGCGCTAAGATGTCTGAATGCAACAGGTAAGTTAAATGGCTAAGTGTGTAGCGGAACGAAGTTGCTTTCATCCACACTAAGTTATGTAACACGTTCTGAAGAAAGCGCCAAACACTTGACGAGTAGTAACCAGAGAGTGGTTTGAGTTTATCATACTTGGCTTTCACACCATCGAGTCGTGTCAACTCTGGCTGTTCTATATTTGAATACCCACTAGGTGACCCGTTGGCTGATTCCCTTACCTTGGTTTCCATCTCCAGGAGGTTTTAAACCAATGCTACGGGTGGAGTAAAGAAAATATTCATGGTGGTGCTAGGATCCAAAAATAGTTTTACCGCGTAGTGAGAGGTGGCCCTCCTCGGGTACTTGTACCCACTAAGTTGTGATCTGCTCTGTGTGTGTATAATGGAGTTATGCAAGCAAGATTCAATTCTACCGTGCTTCCTATTCCCGTTCCATGTGGTCCAATCTGGTATATCTGCCAGGAGCTGCGTGTTTTAATCTGTGGGTGATATTTCGCCCACGACTGTGGTTATTCTGTTAATTCAGGCGTCCTATGTTTGTGCACGGAAGCTTTGCCATACAAATATGAAAGCCAGGGGTAAACTTAGGATACAAACTGTGTGTTGGTCGCTCGAAAACACTGCACTTCTTGAAGCATTTTGACCTCATTTGATCTTATCAGATAGAAATGGAATACAACAAATTAGGGACCATAGGAAATTTAGTTGAGACCTCAAACTCTAAGACAGCTGATCACGACGAGCAACGTGAGGCTCAGTTATAACACCGTCAGTATTAACTGTTTGAAACTTGTGAGCAATAAAGCCGACTGGAATACCGACGGGCTCATTTTTATCTACGTGCTTGTCAACTTTATAATTCGCTCTCAAAATCAGTTGTCTACTCCTTCACATTGGATCTTATCTTTAGCCCCCCTCAATTCTTCACCAAAGCTGTTCTACTTTGGCATTTCTTATTCATGCCCTCATATCGGATCTATGTGTCGTATCAAGCATGAGTGAGGGTTCATGATTTTAAGGTATTAGTGTAATACGTCAGCTATAAATGCTTACCATGTTGTCGTGTAATTTTATATTCAGTTCTCATTGCGCGCTACCGTCATTCAGCAGCGCATTTTCCGAAACATACTACTCACATAAATTCTGTCATAGCAATTCTCCCCCCGACCACACAATGTAACGAGTCAAGTAGCTGCAAGTGTTATCCATAAGTCACTGTTTACTAACTGATTGGATGGTCATTTTTAACTACATGTTTTATGATTGATTTGCAACGCACAATTTTAATATGGACTTTGCTTCACATTTTAACGGAACCTGACTAACTCGAGCACTAAGACTGTAGCCGAAGCGTACGGAAATAGGGAGTTGCCCGCCCGAAAAGTAAGCAATGATCTTATCGATTGGATATTGATGGCATGGAACCTGTAACCATTGGCATATAAACCAAAAAACTTTACCGCTTTGGCTTTGGAGTTAAGATGAGAAACGCTTGACTCAACGATTAATGACTGATTGCAGGGTTATTTTGAAGTACACGCTGTGTGAATGGATAGCAGCGTGCAAGCTCAATGCGCCAAGCATTGCTCACCAGCATCCGGTGGTTTAGAAGTAGAGGTCCGAATCAAAAGCCCCAAGGTCCGGAGTTCGATCTCTGCAGCCTATGTCAGATGAGATCAACTAAAGTCGAAACATCGCGTGGAGTGCAGTGTTTTCGGTCGAGAAAATCCTGCCTCATGTTTTAGATCCCAGTGATCGTTTTGAGCATGGTTCACTTCATTGGAAATCATGGTTCCCTTGGTATTGCACCTCGCCATTTATTCACACAGCGTGCAATTAAAAATGAACCTCCGATCAATAAAACGTGCATATTATACCAACGTAGTTTCGTGCACTTTCACAGACAACGTGAAAATAACCATCTGCGTGAGAGCATTAGTCTCGATGTTAACGATTATTGTTGGTCTCCGTAATTTACCGTCAAAAATTCAAAGTATGCACGATTCACAGGGCGGGTGCTATTTAACTGCACACTACTTGCCTTCAAGGTATTGTTATTTTAATTATCAGCCAATTTCCGGAATTTATATGGTGCTACAGATAGGCCAATTTTTGGTCAACAACGCGAAATTTTATCTGCCTAGAATTTCAAATATGCAATCAGCCGCAAGGTCCTGGAATTTTGAAGTTCTGCAACCACTCAATAAAATATATTCTCAGGAGTGCGAAACCTTAAATGTCAATGCCTTATCCTCGACAAGTTTTATCAGATGTAAAAGTTTAGCCATAATGAAAGCTGAGACGTCATCATACAAGACAAAAAGAACAATATAGCCGACTGGAGGATTGTTGAAAGTTCCTTTTGCCGTATGTTTTATATGCATGGAACTCCCTCCCAAAAAGCTGCCATTTCTGCTCTTCTATTACTGAGTCAAAGGAATGTATGGACTGTGTAATGTGACATCATATAATGTACCTGACTCACAAAAACAACAGGAAAATAAATCGCATTAAACCATGCTTGGTTTTGTTTAGAAAACCAAAGGCGATGGTGGAGATTTTCGGAGTTACTCCCGCGCAGCACTGCACCCACGACCGGTTTTTTCCGGATCGAACTGGCAGAAGTTTGCCGCGAAGTCAAGTTTGCCCCCAACTGAGCGTACTTTCCGGAATGTAGAAACTCTGCGCGTAATTCCAGACGCAACAAAATCCAAAACTTGCCCATGCAGATTGCACATGCCCATTACATACTAACCAGAACTTCTGCTGTGCATCGTCTCCAGTCATCATTGTTCACTAGCAAATTCATTTCCTCTGATGGCGCGCCTACCTGTCAGAGGGAGCGCGCTCTGCTAACCTATTCTCTCAGATGTGTTTTAACCTGACGGTTAACTAGTCTGCCCACAGTATACGCAACACGTCGCTTATGCCGGTTGACACTCAATCTCAGCAGTCCTAGACACCCAACCTGCGCTGGGCATACCAAAATTTTATATAGTACGCTTACTACTATTTAGTTACCAGTTCTAGGTATTACTCGGATATAACAGTGAATAGCTGTGGTGCTCGTCGTAGACCCTCCCAGTGATCCTGCGGTAAGCTTGTTCAATGGGTCGCGCGAATGCATAGTTTCACCTAGATGATTGCTCTAAGCAGCAAAAATTAGACGAACTGCTTTACGGTTTCTGTTAGTATTACTACACGGTTGCTGCATAAAATGGACGGAAAATCATGTTTAAGATTGAGAGAGTTTATGGATGCTAGAATAATGCCGACAATAATAGCTGATACCTCACGGTTGCCTACTCGTAGAGGAAGTGTTACACCGTTGTCAAAATGATCCTACAGTGTCTACACACGCATTCTCACTTCCCGTTTAGGTGCATGTCATACTAAAAATCCGTCAAACTACTGTTCCTGCCGCGTCGTTTAGATTCCGAAACTTGTCTAATCAAATTAGTGGACAGTGCATGGCAAACTATTGTGAGTCTAAACTTGTATTTGGCTTTCAGATGGTAGACTTCGCTTACTACTATACCGGATACGCAACGGTTGAGCTCTTGCTGGTGTCTTGGACATTTGACGTATGAATTTAAGCAACAGTGAATATTTTAGGGTGATTGAAAAGTAACATAACGCGATTGATCAAGCCATAACGCCGGCCTGAACGTTTCACGAAATTTGTCGGAACATTGGTATCTGGTACAAAAGACAGAACTCGATGAAGAACATCGACATCAACTTTTCATCAGCATTGTAATATTTGAAAAGTTCTTTTACCTAAATATATTTATGCATCTACAATCAAATCCATGTCAAAAAATTATGCATCGGAAAATATATTTTTACATTATTTAGTTACCTAACTTAGTAATTTTCAATACATGCCATCATATATTATCTTGGAGCCAACACAACGTACGTCACGGCTTCCTCCTACTTTTTCTCCATCAGTAGTTGATTGCGGGGCACTGAAGAATCTGTTGTAAATATTTGGTTGGTGCTTAGTTTCGCTTGTTGCATTGCTTCGGTTAACAGCTATTTCCGCTATCAGCTGTTCTGACATTGGGATTGGCACAAGGGTATCTCTGGCGAAGTTCTTCACTGGTTCCCAGATCTCGTTCTTCTGAAAACAGGTTAAAGTCACAGGTTTTATGGTAGAATTTCTATTTTCTAATAACATCGGTGCAAAATATACTGTCTTAGCCAAACAACAACGAAACAACATAAATAAAGGAAGGCTGTCGTGCAGTGTCTTATAGTCAAACAAAAGTTGAAACTTGTTATTGTTGTCTTGTCAAATAGCACACATGTAGATTTAGGTTGACTACTTATTTTTAAAACCCATCAAGCTTTCTGAAAGATTTAATCGATCACCAAAAATTACTTGTATATTGCTTTGGAAAATTGGAAAAATAAAATATCTGCTCCCTATGATTCTGTCGTATACCAAGAATCGTAACATCTAGTTGGACTGTACCTCGTATGGACGCGGACCACACCGTTGTGTTTTCTTCGCCACAACTTCATACTGCCCATACAAAAACATGGTACTAACGGCACATATTAGATCCTTGTCAACTGCAGACGCAGCTTCTAAATTAAACAGAAACCTACTTATTAACCTTAGAATTCTTATACTTTGTATTGATTGTTTTTGTGCCAGCAATGATTCACTAGGTAGCCAGGCGGACGCATCACTCTTACTTCTTACTTAAAGTTCACTCAATACCAAGGTTAAAGAATGAGATTCCAAATGAAAATCACATTACAAATCAAATGCCCACTTGCAGTGTGATAGTGCTTTAGATTTAAATGACTGGTACTAATTTGTATTATCGGGACTGTTAGGTAACTATTATTCTATTAACTTATTCGATTGATGGCAAATTAGACATTTAGGATGGGTGGAGCAGCTAGCAAAAAAAGCAGATTCGCTTTCATCGTTTGTGAGGAAGGACCATGCGGGGATTTGAAGTATCTAATGTACCCTACTTTTGAAGTCATGTTGAATCACTCGCTGTGTTGCTGGATTGATACGCGTACTCGCCGAAAAACATTTAGTTTTAATTAGTCAACAAGCAACTGGTTTAACCACAGCATATTAATGTCTCGTCGAATGTATCTAAAAGGCTTACAGTTTCATTGATATTTGCAGTATATCAATAATTAAGGCCCTTTTTAACCATTATATATACAGTTATATCATATTGGTATATTTAATAATCAAACCACATGTGTCCCACATCAGTGAACCTGTGTGCACGGTGAGCTGAGTCCAAGCGAACAACAGTATCCAGTGTAAAGTATTTTGTAATTCAAAAATTTGTGCTCGGGACCCACCGAAAATTTATCCGCATCCCTGGATACGAAGTGACAGTGGGTCAGTCCGAATGAAAAATTTCCCACGTTCAGCTTGCGTTTATCACATTTAAGCAATTAACTATATGAACCGTAAACCTGAATTCCAGCTTCCTCATCGAAAGTTATCTAAGTTTCTGTCACTGTCTTGACACAGATGAGTAATAGGAAAACCTAGAAATACAAGCCCCACGTCTATGACCAGACACATGATCTGCAATGGTCAGTGACTACTTAAGTTACCGTTTTCTTCTTTTCAAGCAGCCAACGACACTGGGTTTGCTTACTTCCATCACTCCAGTTCACATTAGGTGCCAAGTTATAATCATTGTTCTGGTAATATTTAGTGGCCGTTGTTTTGCGAACTAAGTTCAAAACTCACCGATCGCCACTGTGCAAGAAATGCTCTATTATCCTCCTTATTTGGCTAAATAAAACATAGCGCATAGGTGTCAAATCTACAAACTATTAAAGTACAGCTTGCCTGCCCCTACAGAGGGATCAAGCGTAGCTTGCGCTGCACCACCCACAGCTCCATCCACACACCCCATATCCAGTGTAAACCCGAAGTAATACGACCGGGAAGCATGTGGATGGGAACAAGGTTTCATTAACAGAGCCGGCCCACACTCCTTCACAGGCAAACACAAGCACGCTGTATTTGAGGAATCCAGTGCACACAAGGCGGTGGCTGGACCGTTGTCTGTTCCACAATAGGTGAATGGAACCGCTCTTCGAGCCTAGCATGGTTACAAGAACCGTGCATTTCGTCCGCTCCAGCAACGACCAACTGTCTCCTGGAGCCAGGATAAACGAGATAGTGGGTAATAGACAGGTGGGTACCTTGTCAACATGCACATCAAACGCAGCCACACCGGAGATATCAAGCAACAGCCAATTAGTTGAAACGACAAGATGAAATAAAATAAATCTACTGATGCATAGAGCTACGATGACAGAACGCTTCGCTAAATTAGCTTAGGAAGTAAGATGGTTAGCAGCAAGTCCGCGATAAGTAAGAAATGTTCACAAGTAACTTAAAACTGATACAAACACAACAGTTACCGAAGATTAGGGCAATTAGCGTAAGCAACGTGGCCAGTTAATAGAAGATTAATCACATAGGAAGATTAAACCCCAGAAAGTGGAATGAAATTTCTCCAGCTCAAAAAGGCCTAGTTTAAGTGTAAGTTGGTTTGGCCCAACTGCGGTGAAGCGGCATCAAGAATGCAACATCAGCCTCAGCATGGGGCACACATACATACATGTTTTGCGGCACCTGGTTTCGGATTTGCCTGTCACTGTGGCAAGCCACAGGACGCCTGCGCCTACAGAGGGACCATGGATAGCTTGCGCTGCACCACCCACAGCTTCATCAACACACCCATATCCAGTGTAAATCCGAAGGAATAAGACCGGGAGGCATGTGGATGGGAGCCACGTTGCATTAACGGAGTCGGCCCACACTCCTTCATAGGCATACACAAGCACGCTGTACTTAGCGAATCCAGTGCACACAATGCGGTTGCCGAACCGTAATCCGCTCCACACTGAACGCATGGAACCACACTTTGAGCCTAGCACGGCCACAAGGACCGTGCACCCCGTCCCCTCCAGCAACCACCGACTGTCTCCTGGAGGCTGTATGGACGAGGTAGTGGGTAATAGACAGGTAGGTACCTTGTCAACATGCACATCAAGCGCAGTCACACTTGGGATGTCAAACAACAGCCAATCATACGAAAAGCCGATATCGAATAATGTAAACGCAGATGACAACATAAATATTCGCTAAACGAGCATATGGGATATATTGGTTTCAACTGAATTCGCGATAAGTACAAAAAGTCCGAGGTTATTTAAAAAAAATACCATGCGATAAAATTGCGCAAGTTTAGCACAATTTTCATGAGCGACGTGTGCAAGTTAGGAGAAAATTTGCAGGTACACATAACAAGCCAAATAAAGTAGATTGAATTTTATCCAGATTAAAAAGACCAGGTTTGTGTAAGTTGATTTGGCCCAACTGCGGTTAAGAAGCATCAAGAATGCAACATCAGCCTCAGTATGGGGCTCTAAGTAAAACATAGCGCATGGGTAAAATATCTACAAACTATAAACTAAATATTCCCGTATATTACTCATTTGGTTTATTGTGTATTGCTTAAAATAAGGGTGCGTAATGTAGATTTATTTAGCTATTTTCGTTCAATTTTTCTTAAGGGTGTGAACCGACAATACCAGAATACAAACGTCAGAAAACTCAAGATTGATCCTAAACCCAAGGATCCTCAGCTCTACTGAAATTGTGTTTACGAACTTAAAATTGTTAGCGAGATGCCTGCTGAACAACCCAATGTTTGACCAGATGTTAAATACGGTCATTCAAAATAACATTGGTATGATAACATTGCAAGACTGCAAGAAATATGTCCTCATCCTGACGAACCCAGCAGCTGGATAGCTGCTAATCCACCAACCGCGTCTCACGGTATTGTTTTGTCTCTTTTCAGTACGCTATTTCTAAATGGTTTAGAAGGGTTTAAGTAACTAAATAAAATGTATAGGTTAGGTAAAGTGTGTGGAACATGCGGTGTTTTGGTACAATTTAATTTTGACTCGGCATGTCGTGTTGTCCATGACAATATACTGTTTGAGCGCTGACGTGATCCAGCCGTGGGTTATTACATGCGACAACGTATTACCATACTAGTAGTAACCCAACATCGCTGTAGCATTTATGTCAGTGCGGTCGCAAAAAAACTGTCCTCCTGCGTTATTCGCCTCCAAATCTTTGGATTTATTCTCACAGAGACCTACGTGCCATCATTCGATTTGGCTCCGCGAGCTCCTCCTACCACTGTTCATCTATTGGATCTATCATTCACGGATCACCAACAAACTGTGCTCTTGGAAATTCGAAGTCAACCGTATTTGAAGCTTATCGGATGTTTTATTTTTCCTCTCGTCGCATAAGAACTCTTGTGGTCTTATTTTAAAGATCTTTTTGAGAGTCACCCGATCAGCTTACTACCATTCCTTCAAGTCGCTCTACAAAGCGATAGTCGTCAATTTGCTCTGCGTTTGGAACTGCCACTGTCGTCACTAGACAGTATTTTCCAAGTCACCTTGCTTTGCCTCAGTCGCTTTGTCTAGCATCGCTGTCTACCCGTCTGGATCGATAGCACGCACATCGCCTGGACCTGCTGACCTCAAACCAGCGCCGATAGCCACGCAGCGGTGCGTCAGTATCTCCATCCACTTCCTACCCCTACTGAGAACATGTCTCGTATGAAAAGCAAATGCCAATCATGTGCTAAAGTGGTGAAAAATGGTCTTGTGTGTACCATGTGCTTGAAAACCTATCACACTACCTGCTTTGGGAAGAAGTCGACTCAAGCAAACACCGCAGAGTCGCCTTGGTTTTGCCAAGTATGCAAGTCTATTCCATTTGTTAGCTGTCTATCTGTGCTACTGAATAGGTGTGAAAGACTAACCGAAGCGGTCGAGCAACTGGTGAGTGCCAGAGTTACACCCATGGGAGGAAACGGACCTGCACTTGTGAGTGAAAATAACACCCCGAACTCACTAGTCAGGCCGAAGAAGCGAGCCAGGCGTCCCAACCGAACCCCAACGACTCAGCCTCCAGCAGTTTCGACTCCATTCTCTCTCCCTCCTATAAGTAAAAACAGTGCCTGCAGCGCGCCTGCCTCAACTTCTGTACTGTGTGCTGCACCTAGTAGTCTGTTCACTACACTCGAGACT